TATAGTCCCAGCTACTCGGGAGGCTGAGGCAGAAGGATTGCTTGAGCCCAGGAGTGTGAGGTTGCTGTGAGCTAGGCTGATGCCATGACACTCTAGCCTGGGCAACAGAGTGAGACTCTGTCTCAAAAAAAATAAAATAAAACTATAGCATATGAGAAAAGCAAATGCAAAAAGAAAAGCAAAATGACATATGTCAGTGGTAGAGTATATATTGCTATACTACAACATCCCCACATCCGCAAGCTCAAAACATACTTATGTCCTTCTGGAAGGACATGCAGAAACTGGTAACAGTGGCTCCCTTTGTGGGAGAACCCTTGATGAGGCATAGTGGATATGAGGACTTCAGCCCTCTCTGTCATGTGCTCAGTATGCATTTACAAGAGGAATGTATTTATGTATTATATGTACATAAAAAGTTAATTTCTAAAAGCTGTCCTGAGAAAACATTCAAATGATTGTGCAAACTCCCTCTGCTGTATAGACAAAGATGTGGCGCAGCATGAATGCCAGCTGCTGGCTGGCAGACAATGCCACCATGGGCTGAATCCAGTTGTTGTTAGCCAGGGGAGTCTGCATTTAGTATATAGAGAGAGTTTTGAAGGACTGATACAAAAGCACAGATTTTCCAAAAGCCAAACATACAAAGTTTGACCAAATCAAAGTAGAGGACTGCCTGTCAGACACAGAATATCTTTATATAAAGCAAATAAAGAACACAAGGTAATTAATGTGCTGAGAGTGAGAAGTTTGGGTCTGATTTCTGACAGCAACAGCTTTCTAACCTCCCTGGGGGCCTGGGTTTTCTCAGGAGCTAAACTTGGCCCCTTATAGCCTGGTCCTTCCCTGCCTTATAGGTGCTCCTAGTGCTGTCTCGCAGCCGGCTGCCCCGGCCCTCCTTTGGTTCCTTGAGCAGGCCAGACTTATCCAGACTCCAGGCTTTTGCACTTGGGGTTTCTTCCACCTGGAATATCTTACCCCCAGATTTTCACTTACCTGGCTACACTTCCTGCCTTTTGGTCTCCATTCAAATATCCCCATCTCAAAGAGGGGATCTAAAGTGGCTACCATCACCCTGCCCGCCCCAAGTTGTCTCTATCACAGTGGTCGGCAAACCTTTTCTACAAAGGGCCAGACAACTCGTATTGTGGATTTCACAGGCTATACAGTCCCTGTGACAACTACTCGACTCGGCCTCTGTAGCAGGAAAGCAGTCACAGACAACATACAAATGAATGAACGAGGCTGCTTCTCAATGACGCTATTTTAATGGACGTCGACAATTGAATTTCACATAATTTTCACGTGTCATAATGTTCTTTTCATTTTTTTCAACCATTTAAAAATGCAAAACCCATTGTTGGCTCACAGACCATATAAAAAGAGGTGTATGACAGATTGACAGACCACAGTTTACCAACCCCTACTCTAGCACACAACTTTATTCTCAGGTGTTAACGTTTCTCACTCCTCCTGACTACAAGCTGCATATATAAGGACTCACAGGTCTCATTCTCTGCTATGGTTCTGCCTAACATCGTGCCCGGTACACGGTAGGCACCTAATTTTTTATGGATGGATGAATGGATGGACAGAGGGAGGGAGGAGAGAAAGAGGGACAAACTAAATGTTTTTTAAAGGTATTTTCTAACACTCTACTAAAACCACAAAAATTAAGGGAATCAAAACACTGCAGACATGAATATATGAATAACTTATACTACCACCTAGTGGAGAGAATTATTAACATCACAATATATACTTAAT